TAGGATAGATGACTGAAGTTTTTCTTTTCAGATAAAGATGATCTATATTTTCAGAGATACATGTGTTGGTGTATTCGTGTTGTTATAATTTTTATTTAGCTCTTGTACAGCTTTCCTTCACAGCCATCGTCGTGCGGCTGTATTCAACATGAGGTACTCCGTGGTCCAGTTCTCTCGGTCCTGCTGGTTCCGTTATACCTTTCTCCGTATGGTCTGCGTTCCTCTCGTCGTCGCCGAGGGTGAATCCTCTTCCTTATACTTCGGCGACAAGGGTCGTCCGACCCGAAAGTTTCGGGCGAGCTGTGATAGAGGAGGTTCGTCCGTCGAGGTGGAGTTAGCTTCAGCAGCCGGAGTATCCAGGGCTGGAACACCACTTCTGTCTTAATTTCTGGCTCGGCAACCAGCGGGCTTAACGCATAGGTCCGTATTATTTCATTTGATCGAAAAGTGAGTACAGAATATGGACTATAAAACCATTTCAGATAATTTTTAGATGAGATAACATGTTTTTTTAATCTAAGATGAAGGTGAAAATATTTTGTATTTTTCGATCTAGATAAAGATACAGATGATCTCTTCATTCATCTGGATGATTATTTAGATAATTTTATCTTTTACCGGCAAATACTGGCTAGCAATAATATTTGCATATAATAAGCTAAAAATAACATTCTTTTAAGACTGCATGCAGCCATGAAAAAGAAAAAAACATGAGCGTCGGCGCGATGTGATGTGCTCTCACGCGCATGAGATCATCGCACCGCGAACTGACGCAAACTGCGGGTGATACGGGGCGTGGGTGTGGATTACCGTAAGGGTACGGGCCGCCTGAGGGGTGGGCTGCCGCGAGTAGGGTACAGACTATTGAAGGGATGTAGACTGAGAAACGCGCGGAGGATGACGTCAACCGGAGGAGGTAGTTTTCACATATATCAGTCGTTTATTATCGATAGCCGTTCAATATAGCCATTCAGTATTGTCTCCTGAGATAACCGTCATACTTTTAGAATTTGCTTTTCCCTTTTTATCATTCGGTCACCGTTATTTTTTTTACTTATCCGTTGCCATTTGAACATTGTTTGTTATGGTTTGCGGTAGCCGTTTTTATCGTTCGGTAACGGTTTATTATCGTTTTTGCAATCCCTGGTCGGCCGGTAACTTTCCTCCGCGTGACGTATACCCCCTCCCCCTCGTGACGTGGTCACCGCGCACCAATAAGCCCCTCGTCCGCGTGACGTCATCTCTCTCCCACGGTACCTCCATCGCCCCGCTTCCCTGGAGCACACGCCAAAGTTAGGACTCTCCTAGTATCACTACTGATAGAGAATAGACATGTATATGTTAAAATTACATCTTTTGCTTTTAGTGCCATACCTGTGTCCAGGCGTAGGCGAACTCTCTCATATGCTTGTAGTGCGCACGTTAATTATACACAAGCATATGGGACCTACAGTTTAACGCCGGTTCCAAACGGCAACGTTTTTAGAGAGATTGTACTAGGCAATAATACTCTCGGTAGTTTGCCATTGCCTTCCGAGAGGAGATGGGAGCATAAATATTTTGGCTTCTGCGGGATCGTATCCAGGACTGCTGGTATAGTAAGACCAGTGCGCTACCTCCCAAACAGCACGTAAACGTTCGAGGAACGTCCGCTTTATGTTCATTTGGTTTAGTTATATTCAAACAAAGTGGGAACGTTCGAAGAATATACGTTTTAGAACCTTTAATATGTATCTTACGTAGCAAAAGTGTCGCAGTATCACAATTATGCTGCTCTGTTACAATTCCATTTTTTAATTAAAATATATACATCTTGAAGTTTGATTATGTCTATTTATAACAAATTATTTAAAAAATATATTAATATATTAATATATTTTAGCAATTAATATGTTTTTTAAATAATTTGTTATAAATAAACATAATCAAACTTTAAGATGTATATATCTTAATTAAAAAAATAGAATTGTAACAGAGCAGCATAATTGTGATACTGCGACACTTTTGCTACGTAAGACATATATTAAAGGTTCTAAAAGGTTTTAAAGTTCAATGTCATAGACTTCGTTTACACGGCAATGTTAATCCGATTTAGTGTAACTACCCAAGCAGTACGCAAACGTTCGAGGAACGTTCTCTTTACGTTCACATGATTTGGTAAATTTAATTTAAAAAATATACTAATTGCTAAAAGACATTAATAAAATCTTTTAAATTAAATTTACCAAATCATGTGAACGTAAAGCTAACGTTCCTCGAATGTTTGCGTGCTGCTTGGGTAGTTATTAAATCGGATTAGCATTGCCGTGTAAACAAAGTCTATGACAGAGATCTTTAAAACCAATCGTATACCTTTTCTTATATGTCTAAGTCTAAAATAGTCACTCAGTCACGAAAGCACATCAAAGATTGATGTTTCCGAATATAGCCTGCGCGTTTCAGAACAGCTGGTGTCTAATAATATGCACACAGAATGGCTTCCCGAACGCACCTAGTTCCTTAAGTCCACCAATCAATACTTGTAACTCCCTACGTTCTCATTAGTAGTGTTGAGGTGCGCCGGTTGGCTGCCTGTAACCAGAATTTAGTGAAGAGGTCTGTTCGTTTTCGCTACACACTCTGAACTAGTGGAATAAGTTAAAGCGAGACAAATATATGTTTTCTCATTTCAACTTATTACACTAGTTCAGCGGTGCAGTAAAAACGAACAGACCTAAGTATAAGTTTTCAGCGCTGGCAGTGAATTTTGGAATACACAGTTTGTTAGTTTCTGCAAATAGTGTAAAAGGCATAGAGATATAAGAATAGAGGAAACAAGGGATATATGCTATCTGTAAGTGGAAGTGATAGAGGTCAAGAGAGAGATGGATGCCGAGTGTCCTATCTGTCTCTTTCTAGTCGAGCGCTGTGATTGGTTGTTACAATAAGCCACCAAGACGACCACGCGACGTCAGGAGGGGAAAAAGCAGACTAAAATTTCGTTTTGTAAATATGCGTGCACATGTGTGTAGAATTAAAATTCGTTAAATGTTCGAACGTTAACAAAATAATAATTGGACGCGATTTGTTTAAAAATGAAGCATTATTTGAAATGCAAGGCGGAGTTTTATCCTGGATGTAACCGCAGTTTTCACTCGTAAGAAAGTACAAATACATAACCTCAAATAATTATATGTTATTTTTTCCTACATTTAAAAAAATATGTAAATGTTGTAGGCTACCGAAGGATGTAGATATAAGGCGTAAATGGTTGAATATACTTCAACTACCTTTGTATTTTGAAGTGAAAACAGCATATATTTGCAGTGATCATTTTAGCAATGACAGTTTCTTTGAATTGGATGGAGAAAAATGTATAGCTATATCGT